ATTTTACGGCGAGGGCTGTTGGCTGCTAAAAAGATCGGAGAAAATTAAATTACAAACGTGTGTGTGTGTGTTTACTAGGCTTGTGCCGATTGGATCATATATCGACAATTAAAGGGACGGTTGGATTCCCTAAGCCGGTATTAAGGGGATTTTAACTAAATTACAATCAGAACTAAGCTGTTTATAAAAAACGATTATGAGAATATGGACCCTACAGTGTATTTAGAGAGTAGACCTGCACGATCTGAGGAAAATCTGTGTTGTGTAAAATCATCGTTAAACATTATGATGACAAAAGGACATTCAAATTATAAAAAAAAGAATTAAACAGTGCATATATCCTATACTGAGCTATTCATATCGTTTTACAGCCAAGTTGTTTTTACATTCAGAAAAGGATTAGAGTTGAATAGATTGAAAGTTGGATGTTGTTTTTACAGCATGCTGTTTTTTATAGATCAGCAACAAAATTGGGTTCTCTATGCTTACTCCCTCAAATCAAAAATAATTATGCTGCAACCCGCAAAGCTTCAAATTAAATCAAGTATCAATAAAGTCAATTTACATTCACCCACGTGAGAAGAACAACACAGCAGTATTTACAATGTTAACAGGTAAATAGACTCTACAGCTGCAGGTGGAAGTTGGACAGGATGCTAAGCAGAACCCTTTAACTCACTTTATTCTGTGTTTAAAGCAACACTTGTTTCCATTCTGATAGTTGAGGACAACTACATCCACAGTATAAATGAATGTAACAAAACAAACCATGCTAATAGGATGGTTAGACATTAGAAATGTCAAAGTGAGATCTGTGATTTTAAGTTCCCAGCAGCTGTGCCAGAAAAAGTGTAACTTTTTGAACTGCTGTCTGACACAAACAGCAGCCACTGCCAGGTGGAGTTGAAAGATGCAACCTTAGCGCGACCTTCCAAATCAAGGCTTTAGGGAGCTTCAGAGATTGTTACATCTTCACTAATGATGGGTGAAATGTTTCATCTCTTCATCACATCCTATCCACCAAACTCCGTCTGTCTATCAATCTGTTTTGTGTTGTTTTTCTGCCTCTATAGAACTTTCTGTCACAACCCCATAGTCTCTTCGTCTCCATATCTCACATGCTGTCTTCTTTTTCCTTATCTCACACCTTATTTTCCATGCGGTCTACTTTCAGTCTCTATCTGCAGTGCTTTAATGACCTTAGGCTGCAGGTAGAAAGTAAGGGGCTCTGACTCTGCTTCTTAATCATCTGCTACACCAGGGAGGAGTCTAACCTACGAGTGGATGCTCTACGTTAAGAGAGGATGTGTGTGTGGGGGGACATAGAGCTGGTTGATCTATCAAGTGTGACATGGTGAGAGAGGAGACGTTCTGCAACGGTGTGTGTGGCTGTGTGCTTGTTTGGATGGATATTGCTGACAGGCATACTGCAGGATATGTTGAAATGAGAACAACATGTGGTAATGAAAGGCAGGATACACAAAATATTCAATTGCTTTTATTTGAAAGTGTACATTCTGTATTTGCAAGCATGCTTTTGCAGTCGTGCACAAACATCTTTACATACAGTGTGGCTGCATGCAAGTTTTCCCAAGCTCTCTTTCTTCTGCCAGACTTTGAGTGATGAGCCATTGGTTAGCATGCTGTCACATAATTGGGTGATGAATGGGCCCGCTGGTCTATGTTCTGCAGTGTGATTGGGTGCTTTAATACCAGCTGTTCTCATTCATAACACTCCGTTCGATGTCTCACTATGGGATGCGCCTCATCCGCGGAGCAAACAGAAGCATCAATATCATTACGCCAATCCTGATTGGCAGGTGATCTTGACGTCAGCGTCAGGGAATCCACCCCCTATAAGTAGCTTGCGCTACGCCGCATGCATCATTCAAACACCTCTTCTCGCTTACAGAGCAGCAATCCTCCTATAATTGGTGGGCCCGGGCTAGTCACCAGCCAGTCAACCAAAGATCGGAAACCCAAACTAACCAAGCTAAACTTAGGTCGACGGGCCGCTCGCCCGGCTACTTTTATAATACTTCTGGCAAGAAGACTGTCGGGGGCTAACATACCAGTTTAGTAACCACATTCGACCTCACCTTTTTTTTTTCTCCCGAAATCGAAAGGTAAGGTTTGACTTCAAGCCAGGCAGCACACCACTGGGGCGGACATACGTTGGTAGCTTTGTCTCCTCGCTACGGAATCCACCACAACGGCCCCCGAGAACTTTTTCTTGCTCCTTCTCAAAAAGCACCAGAGAAGAAAAGGAATAAAACGAACTATTAACCACACGCAGTTAATACCTCCTTTGAAAATAAATCTACACGTCGCCTTTTCTCCCGGATTAAGGACGGTTGGAAGATTTTTCTCCTGCAACTTGTTGAGAGTGGGCCCTTTCACGCCGTCATCGACGGCGGCCCAAGAATGGACGCGCTTCTCCCTCACCACCAGAGGAGTCAGGAAGCTCCGTTGCTCCGCCCCTCCTTGCGACTGCGGTTTGAACATTTCAGGCCACAGACACAACCCAAGGTCCTGGCTCGTCCTGCCCTCGGGCTGGAACACGCCCCAGGAGGCCTATTGACAACCCCCAGCGGGTCCACCTGACAGCCTCCTCCTTCACCCCTTCTGTGACAGAAGCTGCGTTCCCCAGCTCCCCAGATGGTGTCCCGCGCGCTCCGGAGCCGATGCCTCAAACAACATCCTCCAATGCGCGAAAAAACCATGTCTGTCACAATATTGTTGTTTTTTTTTCTGTAATAAAAGCATTTTCCGCTGACGGGCATCGCAGGGCCAGGGCCGAGGGCACAAGCTCAAAAAAATGAAAAGAAAAGAAACAATAAAAACCCAATAAACGGTCCCCGGCCATAATTGTCTCCCTTTTTGAGAGCAGACTACCGGCCTCTCCTCAAAAGGCGGACATTGGACCCGGGTCTGTGAAGGCACGCTCCGCCAGCGCAGCAATGCGGCAGATGACCGACTGGGGGTTGTGAAGTCACGCGTACGCCCACGCGCCATGCGCCAGTGGCCCAGAGTGTAAATACACAGGGCTGAGTAGAAAGAGAGATCCTCTCCGTTTCTCAGAAAAAGAAGGCTATATCTATAATACCCGCCAGGCGGAGTCAGGGCGGGCTTTTGTTCCAAGTAACGAATGTAGGCGATTCATTTCAGATAGTTTTGAAAACGCAGAGTACCGTGATTGGTAGCCGTGATCTGCCCTCCGCTCAAGGGAAAAACCTCCAGGCTGGACTTGAGACCAGGCCCCCGTATAGATAAATGTAATTTATAATAAGCCAGCTGCCAATGGATCATTGATCCACCAGGGGTGCAGTGGGGTTCCCCAACCCCACTGAGCTGCATGTGAATAAAGTCCAGATACCAGTACGATGAGTGTAAAGGCCGGAACTTTGTTAAGATCCATTGTCACGGATATCATACTACGTGCTAATAGAGAAGACCAATGTAATCATTTACAAAACATACAACCCATGTGTTATTTAGCCCAAAAAATACATTTTGTTATTCGCCCGAAAAAAACGAACCGGGAG